CACACAGCCCTGAGCTGAGAATCGTTATGTCTCATCTATCGGTGTTCTTGCCATTCCCGCGCCTTCCGATCGAGATTAGACGTCTGATCTGGGCAAACGCCCTACCGAGAGGCCGAGTCCAGCTATTTGCGAGAGGCGTTCCGTGGGAGGACTGGAAACTGTTCCCGCCACTGATCGCACATGTGTGTCATGAATCTCGAGAGGTCGCCAGGAATCTCTCAGTCGTCCGTGGTTTCCCCACTGCTCGCGACACGCACAACGAGACCTGGTTTATAGGATCCCGAGATATTCTTGAGCTAGCCAGCGGCTATCCATATCCCTTATCGAATCCAGAGCCCTTCTTTGCCGCTGCAGAAGCTCTAGCCATCAATGCCGGCGACTTCAGGGGCGATATCAGGTGTCTCATCAAAGATCTGATTAGTGGCTCACGTTTTCACTCCGTCAAGGTCGTGTACCTGATTGTCGAACAGATTAGCACCCCTTACTGGCCACGTTTTCGACCAGATTTGACGGACCAGGACAAGGGCAAGGGGACCGTTCTCGACTTGTGTGACAGGGGCGATTTGAGGAGAATTGAAGAGTATAAAGCCTGGGCGCGGTTCCAGGAGATGTCGCCAGTATTCCCAAAGGTTGAAGATGTTGAGCTGCCTCTACGAGCAGCCCTTGATGAGATTATTGTGGAGGAATTGAATGAATTTCGAGATTCCACGGTTTCAACACCTCATAATGCCGATGCAAGCAGAGCAATTCCGGGGACGTCTCGATCAGGTCAAATTCTCTCTCACGATGACCCTTGGTTACAACAACAATGGAGACGGCTGCCTGAGTTTCGTCCTGCACTACTTGTATTGGGGTGGCCATAATGATAAGGCGAACGGTAATACTAAAGCTTTAATGCCCGAAAGAGACAATCAAACGAGCCACACTTTAATACAAATTGCCCTACTAGACTCCGTCTTCTCCCGTCACCTTGTCTATTGCACTAGCTCCATCAACTCCGTTTCCCTAAAACCACGCCTAAGCTCATATAGCTCCCACAGTCATCCCAGTTTTCCAACGCAGAATGCTACATGCCAAATATAGGTTGCACACATCGAAGGGAGCTCCCAAGCAATCCCGATTGCCCATGGCGCCTTTGAGTAACCGTTAGTAGAATCAAAGGTCGCCCCTTTCAGCCACTGTAGGACGCTAATTCGAGCTCTCAACTCCTGGGCAACTATCTATGATCGCGAGCTTGGTATACTGAATATTGTTAGAAAAAACTACGCTGGCAATAAAAGGCCCAAGAAATGGCAGAGACTTCTCATTGTAATTAAAAGAATGTAAACACATTCGGGCACCTAGAAATTGTACCCCATATAAGAATGGTTCAGGCAGGGAAGACATGGATAAACGGCTTGAAGGGCGGTGCCAATCTAAAACTCTATCTTAATTAGAATAAAGCAACAAAATTCCGTGACGCAATTTCGAGATTGATTCACTATTTCATTAGATATAACTAAGAAACACAGTGAATAGTATAACGCGATGTGCTTGGAACGCTATAATCCACACCGCTATAAATATTATAGCGGAGAGCGAGAGCGTCTTAGTGGAGATACTAGGCGTGTGCCTGGTCAGTTCGGAGGACTAACCGCGGCAAAGCCACTGATTGGTGCCGCTACGAGGCGGTCTAGAGCTTCCCAAGCTGTTCTAGATGCCGAGGAAGGCTGACACAGCTCTCCCTAAGGCATTCCCTACAATCTTTCAATTCAACTGTCAATCACCATACTTCATCATCTCTCATTAAGTCTGTCTAGTTCTATGAAAATCCCAAGAGAGAGGAGCTGGGTTATCGTTGTACCTGGAATTTCTCTCTGTGAATAAATGGAATCTACTCAGCGCTTCTCCGGTTACCCCCGGGCACGTGAAGGTCCTCTGACAACTTCATCCTATGTGGAAGAGTCGAACCCAGTCTTGCGAGGATGGCCACTGATACTTGCAGCGAATGCGTACGTCGCTGTATTCGTGCATACTACAGGTTAGAACTTAACGCTCACTTCCGTCACCAGTGTTACTCGGTTGCCATCTTTGGCGAACGCGATCTGGACTAATGCCAAGTTCGGGATGATCAAGGACATACGTGGACTCGAACAGTATGATTATCGGCTAAATGTAAGACTTTATGAGTATGAAATACGCACTCGCTAATTAACAAGATGCTTAGCCTATCGTAACGCCGGTGAATACAGACAGCAGTATCACGGCCAAACTAGACATCACACCGGAGCTCTTCCCACGACAGCCAGATGACATTGCGGGCCGCTTCTACTCGGCTGCAGACTTTCATGAGCTTTACAAATCAGGCAAGCTGACTCCGCTTCAAGTAGCTAAGGCTTTGATTCCTCTCATTTCTCGTGAACAAAGTGGAAAATACGTGTCCGCTTGGTCAGAGATCCGCATTGAATCGGTGCTTGCGGCGGCCAAGGCCTCTACAGAGCGGTATCGTCATGGAAAACCCTGTGGGCTCCTCGATGGTGTTCCTATCGGTGTGAAAGAGGATATGGACGTCGAGGGATATACTTGCTATTTTGGACAGCGGCCTAGCCCATCAGACCCCGCCTTCGTGCCAGCAACGAAGTCGGTTTGGCCTGTAGCCCAGCTAGAAGCCGCCGGAGCCATCGTTGTAGGATCACTGGCAATGCATGAACTAGGAAGCGATACCAGTGGCTGCAACCCGCGCCGTGGCTCGCCCAAGAACTGGAATAACACTTCCTACTACACCGGCGGCTCTTCATCTGGCGCAGGATCTGCTTTGTCCGCTGGTTTGGTGCCAATCGCGATCGGTACGGATGCCGGTGGGAGCATCAGAATCCCAGCGAGCTTCTGTGGCGCGTACGGTCTGAAGCCTACTTTACACCGAACCCATACGATGAAATCGTCCATTTGCGTTATTGGCCCACTAGCTGCTACTGCGGCCGACCTTACCATAGCGTATAGAGCGATGACGGCTCCGAACCCCGACGATGCTATACAAAGTGCCTTCGCCCCGTCCATTCCACCATCTCCAACGGCGAGGAAGACAATTGGCATATGCCGAGAGTGGGTTGGCCATGCGTCACCAGTGGTCCGCGAGGCGACCGAAAAGGCCATTGCTTACTTCACTGACAAGCTCAACTACGAGGTTGTCGACATTCAGATTCCCTACCTCCGCGAGGCACAGTGGGCGCATAACGCCTGGGCCCTCAGCGAAGGCGCCGACCATGTCAGGTCACGGCTGGGGGGCCGAGCACTCTCCACGGTCAACCACTGCAACCAGATCCTCTTGTCGGTCGGTGCCTGTACGCTCGCCACGGACATGCTCAAATACTCACAGATGCGCGCGCTGCTGATGGAGCACCTCGCCTTCCTCTTCAAGAAGCACCCGGGCCTGCTCATCGTGACGCCGACGACGCCGGAGGCGGGATGGAAAGTCCACCCCGGAGACGAGGCCTACGGTTTCAGCGACGGCAACCTAACAGTCCGCATCATGATGTATATCTGGCTCGCCAACTCCACGGGCTGCCCGGCCGTGAGCGCGCCGGTTGGCTACGCCGAGCCGGAGCAAGGGGAGGGGAAGCTCCCCATTGGCCTCATGGCCATGGGCGAGTGGGGGGCGGAAGAGCAGCTGCTCGCCTGGGCGGCCGAGGCTGAGGGCTACCTGAACGGTGCGTTGGAAGGGGGAAGAGTGAGGCCTAAGGATTGGGCGGATGTTGTCAAATTAGCTGGTGATGTTGATGCTGGCTCGAGCTGAGCGCTAATGCCCTGCTCTATAGTCTTGGTTGAACCGCGTTAGGAATGGGATGTTTAGAGCGTGGTTATATTTTTATGGCTTCTTGCATTTTTGTACCATATTATCTCGAAACCCAGGAAAGCTACGTTGACCCTAGAATAGCTGTTCGTATATAAGCAGTATATTACATTATACACTCTAGCTGCTGGCTGGAGTGTGTTGACAACCGTTGCCTTCAGTAAGGTGCCTGTCACACTCCTCTTTAGCTGTTTCAACAGAATCCCCAGCTTCGCCTTAAACTTGGCCACGGTAACCAAACTTCGGTATGATTTGAGTGTACGATAATTGGGATTCAATTTCCACATCGTGATTAATTTTCACTTTATTCAACATCGCTATCATAAATTTATGTATGCATACACGTTTAGCAATTATTTACTTTTGTATCTGGCAGACGAGAACCGCAGATTCCGTTGCTTCAGTTAACACATATCTCTAACAAGGCTGGCTTCACGAATTCTTGGTGTTCAGTCGGTGTGTTATAGCAATTCTTCTGCGTTCAATGACACAACCTCTATTCAACACACTTTAATATGACAGATGGTTGACTAATGTACAGCCTGAATGACAGCGTCAGCTCTAATAATTCGGCAAGCCTCACAGTGAGTCTCAAGGCACAAAGCATGCAAAGAAAGCGAAGCCTACACGACGAAAAGGACGAACGCCAATGTGAATGGGACTGAAGGTCACAATTTACTTAGGACCATACAAGTACCGCAAATGATAGGAAGCGGATAGCCGTTAGCCCAGCCTGTGAACTGAGCTGAAATAGGGCACTCCCGATCCTGTTGTTAAGTCTTTGTTGAACTTGGGGCTGGTGAGTGAATGTATTCCTTTATCGCACACGTGCACGAACAGCAGTGAATATTCCCAAGTACACCCAATCAAACCGCTAGCATTCAGCCTAATAGCAGTGCTATCTTAGCACAACAAGCTTGTAAGTCTTTGAAGGCGCTTGTACTTGGTACTTCGGAGAAAAAGCGAAGTGAGCTTAGCACGCTAGCAATGCGCCAAGCCTAGCTAGCTCCGCTGGTGGGAAATTTCTCGGGGTACTACTGTTGCGGGCAGCACGAAATTATCCAATTAAATGAGGGAAATAAGTGCTGTGCCAATAGCCTATCTGTCGACTTCTGAGTTTAGGGTCTATAGAGCACTATAACATCTCGATCGTCAATAACAAAAAGAACATGTCTTCGTGGCTCAGTTGGTTAGAGCGTTGGTCTCATATTCATATGATTCAATCCTAGATTGGGCCATCCAAAGGTCGTGAGTTCGAGCCTCACCGAGGACAAAATTTTTTTGTCGTTTTCTCATTGTTTTACAATTTTGGATTTTTTATTTCACTCCTTTAATTTCTCGCTTGCCTTGTCTTTTAATCTCATTTTATTAACATACTTCTCATTAGTTCTATAACTATTTTTATCGAATCTAAATCAATTTAAGTCAGACTGGTCAACTCATGATTTGGGCCACGTTTAGATGCCCTGCCTCTGTTCATGTAGCAACTCGTTCTTACCGAGACAACACATACTCACTAATACCATGTCAAATTCATAAAGCCATGGAGTCCACGTAGATCCGCCTTGCAGATTTGGGGGATTCTGGATCCTTCCTGATTACCTCGTAAAGGGACCCCAAATGAACTATAAATTGCCTCCCCTACTTTGAGAAGAAGCGCTGATGCCAAGGAATCGGACCACCAATGACGACTGCCGTCTACAGACTGTCATTTCCACTCACATCACGATCGAATCGCTCTGCTGTCCTATCACGTTATTCCTAAGCTGCTCAAATCCAGACACATAGGCAGTGCGTATTAACTTTTAGTGACATGCTAAGTTACAAGTAGGCCATCCTCAGGCGCCAATACCTACTATCCTATCCCCTTGTAAGATCCCCCTTGTCAAGTATTGTGGATTAGGGCCCGCACGAATTAGTGTGTAGTTTGTGTATTCCCCATAGCAGTGGTACCTGGTGGAGCCGTCTTTTACCCAACGCCAACTATGTAATGATAATGTTTATGCCTTTTGCATGCACAGATTAACAGGTCGTCAGCATTCCCGTTGCTACCTCTCCTCTAATAGTCCACTGAGTATCTTGCACGGCCTGCCCATCCTACGACATATGCACATACAGGCGTATGTAGGACATCGAGGTCTTTCGTTTCTATGTCCTCCGCAATCCTCAACTTACTCACGACTCTTCTTAGTTTTGTTTTCTCTTTTTATTTTTATTTTTAACGTGCTATGTGAAATAAAGTCAAGTGTTTGCTAACGGAACCAATATGGAAGTATTCATTATTAGCCAGCACAGAAATAAAAGAATAGTTGACCTCAGGCGATAAAGGATTCCCCTCGTTAAAATATAATATTCTCGAGAGGAATTTTCTTGTACTCCTAATAATAAACGGCCATTCAATCAGCCAGTCAGCATTTTCGCCGCCACACGCCCGCGCTTTCAGCCCCTGAAGGCGGCCTGTCTTCAACGTTTGATCCCAGCCTTTGTAGTCTGCGCCGTTCGTGAATGCATATGACCTCTCGCTCTTTACGTCAAGCATCTCTCTCACCGATAGCGACAAACTGGGACAACCTGCGACTCCCTCGCCGCTGTTGCTAATATGACGACGTCTCGGTTGAATCTTGGTCCTCTCACAACTGCGTTCGCATATCCTGGGAGCTGCACTGTGGCGGTCCAGCAGTGCGACACCTGCGACGTCTTTTGGCAGGCGCAGACCTGCAGTAACAACGCTGGTAACACACAAGGTGTTCAGGATGATCCCCAGTGCTGGCCCTCGCGCGAGAATCCGTCCATATCAACAGGTGAAGCCTTACTCGGCTGGGGCTTTTATTCGCCTGGCAGTTCCTGTCCCACCGGCTATGCAACCTCTTGTGTTGCTACCGGGACTGTGAACGGCGGGTTCCCTTTCCAGTTCCCGCTTCTAGAGAGCGAGACAGCAGTGGGCTGCTGCCCAACGTGAGTCCATTATGAAGCTCATAAATAACAAATATCACTATTTTTTAACTGGAGAGTCTGACTCGCATGTAATACAGTGGGTTTCGCTGCAAATTCAACCCTGGTGTCGACGGGGCCCAGACATGCTATAGCATTGCCAGTACTGGGTCGTTCGCCGCTGTACACTGTTCTTCGGGAACGAGCAACGGTTTTAACTACTACGGAGTGCCAACTACGGCCACAGCAACTGGAGGAATTTCTACAGCAACTGAAGGAACTTCAACTACGGTAATCAGTGTCGTAACAATCTACGCACCGCTATTCCAGCTTCTCTACCAAAGCACAGACTTGCCATCAGTCCAGCCAGCCTCCACAACTTCGACAGCAATCTCCAGTAGTATTACCAGTACTACTACGACGATACCAGCGCCTTCTAGTTCCCAATTGGCCGAGGGAGGTTTATCGACGGGTGCAAAAGCTGGAATTGGAGTTGGTGCCGGTATTGCCGGCCTCGCGCTCCTAGGAGCCGCCGTTTTCTTCTTTTTCCGTCGGCGAAGAGAACCCGCTCATGTGAGCGAAATAATGACACCAGAACCGAAGCCACAGTTCCCGCAACAGTTCCCACAGCAAGGCGTCCAGCCGGTAGAGCTGTCCCCCTATACTCATCGGAGCGAGCTTTCGTCATAATAATCCGTAAATATTGGGATTCATATTCAGGGAGTGATGGACGAGTCCGACCAGCTGTCGACAATGTCGAGCTCTCAATATTCTAGCTATACCTCTGGTAGAGAGAAAGCCTATATACTTAATCATCTTAACATCAACATCCCTTCGAGGATTCCCAGGTATTTTGAGGGGTTCAAGGGCGAAGTGTCGGGAAACGGCTAAATATATAAGGCTGTGAAAGCGATCATATATCATTAATGAAAGCTATACCTAGCACCTCTCGTAGGGAGTTTGGATCTTTCTGTTAAATGCTAAAACGATGAAATACAGATGACTAGGTTACAAGCTTTAAAAATAAAATCAGGCCTCTAACATGAATTATTTTTTATAATTAAAACGCTTCTATCTTAGAAATGTCCGTTTCGAATACTCCGACGTCTTCCTCAACAGGAGGAATCGGCTGATAACATTTAGTCATGCGTAATTAAAGCAGCGACTTTGTCTTTTCGCGCCATTGAGATCAAATCAATCACTGACCTCTTTATTATGGTATTTAATTTGAAAGCGTAACTTAAACTGAAGAATCCAATGTGTTTTCGTTCTTAAATATTATTTCAACATTGGAGATTCAATAGTGGTGTTTTAGTCAGTATAGTGTAGTATATTCAAACGCCAAAGAAGCTATCATAAATGTCTCGATCATAAGGCCGCTGGCTCGGTATATTTGTCGGTCGGTTCTTTAAGTTTGGTGAAAATGTCAATACAACTCAGAATAACAGCGGCTTAAAGCCCCGTCGTAGCCAGACACATCTAGAGCGTCAACGCTGTCATAGAGCTTTCGGCTTTATGAGATTGTAGCTCTACGAATACTACTAATACAAGAAATCAGACGGACTTTTGATTGCTAGTAAAATGCCTCGAAGTAGGCCGCATTAGAAGAGAAGTTAAACTAACTTTCCAATTATGAAGCGATCGTACCAGCGGACCGCTTCAGTTTATTATGCCTGCATTTCTTCCATTAAGAAGAGCGTCATACACGTGGCTATTCTGCTATTTTTTATAAATATCCCCCATTCCAAACCGTTCATTTATTCTGAGTCTAATAGCGTCTCGAGGACAGTTCAAAGCCCAGCAACTTCTATAAATCTACTACAGATCTTCTCCTTTCACATGAGGGTCCTGCTTCTCCATTGGCTGCAATGTACTTTTTCAATTCGAGTTTCCGAGTCAAATTTATAAGCTAAGCCGTAGTTTGAAGCAGCGTGCTGTGGTCTGTTACAACTTAATACAAAAGTTGAGATATGATCATTAATATGCTGCACCAGGTGGAAACTAGGTTGGTGATCTTATACCAGCTGTTGGCGAAAGCCACACCTGGTAATTACGCTAGGGAGCTCTATCAGGCTATGAATGGCTCTTGCCATCCCTAATCTCGTCGGGTCTTGCATTTGAGTCTCATCGTTGCCACATCGTCACCACCAACAACCCCACTCACACTGCCTAGTCTTTTCAGCCAGTATCTCCCTAAACGTTCTGCAGGATAGAAGATGTTCAGTCTTTACAAAGTCTAACATCTCTATAGTGATGGAACAAGGCCGCTCGAAAATTGAAAAGTAATTGCCAAGGACCACAGAGACTGCTCGAAGACAACTATTAACTGATACATACCGCGAAACACGTTTGTGTTTTCCTTTCCCAGTTAATCACTTAGGACTTGACGCTGATAGTTTAGCAACTATCATCGTTCTTTGTTCGACCACGCTAGTCTCAATCACTCTGCTAATCAACGTGTTGCGGACCCGTTTTGAGTATCACTACAAACCATTTTATTCTGTGGCAGCTTTCTCCAGTCTAGTAAAGATGTCTGGTGATGTACCAATCTGGCTGCTTCAGAAATATTCAACCTAGGCAGGAAGACCACTTGTCCCTCCTAGACCAAAGACATAGTTACTCAAGCGATGACTAAGGGAACGCCTGCGCACGTGTCTATGTCTTATCACGCAAAGACAGTTATACTACAAGCATACTACAAGCATACGTGTCTCGTGAAATTTATAGACTGACAGCTCCACTGCTACTACTGTCTGAGATTTCCTATATACGAGAGCGGTCGTGGTACTGATGCTGACTATTTTTGATTGGCAATATTGGGAATTTAGAAATGCCTAGTAGCACCACCAGTATCGTTACTAAGAAGCCACAGTACTAGAGTTTTTGCCTACTTTCACCAGGATATGCGGCCTAATCTTGAAAGGTTTGGAAGTCTACTTAGAGAACCCGGATCGTAGCTAAATTACTAAGGATGTAGTTACTGATTCGCCCGTCGCAATCTCGGGCCGTACTTCCCTTGGCGCCACCCGGCACGTTGTCAAGTGGTGTTCGGCTCGCAGGGGGTTGCTAATAACGACCATTCCACTAAACGTACTTTTCGGGAAAATCTGCTAAAAAATTTCTGTTGCTTCTCTGATTGCGGTTTCAAGACCTAGAAACGACAGGCTTATTCCTAGTAATTATTTGTAATCACTAGCACGCTTAGTTTAGTGCACACTTAGTTTCTTGTAGCAATATAAGTGCTGGGTTCAAGCAAGGAATGTGAAGGATATGCGGTGTAGCTTATCGAGGCCGAAGTGTAGAGTCTAGACAGCCGGTGAGGGCATGGTATTGGTGGAATAA